CTATCGCCAACATCAGCAGCAGGAGTTCTCCACACTTGCTCCCGAAGATTATCGTCATGAGGAACAAGTACAACCACAGCCTTCTGAATCTGAACGTGATGAATTCTATCGCCAACAGGAACAACAGGAATCCTCCACACTTTCTCCCGAAGATTATCGTCATGAAGAAGTACAACCACAGCCCTCTGAATCTGAAGGCGATGAGTACTATCGCCAACAGCAACAGGAATTTTCCACAATTTCGCCTGAAGATTACCGTCAAGAACAACAAATATATCCACCACTATATCCGCAGCCTTCTGAATCTGAACTCGACGAGTACGACCGCCAGCAAGAGGTAAAACCACAGCCTTCTAAATACCCATCCGATGATTACTATAGCCAACAACAGGAACAACAGAAGTTCCCGCTTGGAGATTATCATGGAGAGCAAGAAGCACAACCACAGCCTTTTGTCCCATTACCTGATGATCGTTACCGCCAACAGCAGCAGCAGCAGCAGCAGTACATTGGAGAAACTCGTCAAGATGAATGGGCTACACAATATTATCCGGATAGGGATTTAGTTCATGATGTTGAAGGTAAACTAAAATAGACATAAACTTATGTTTATGCTTCTTAATAATTTGTTTTCTTTTAAATGTATATTTTATTCAATGCAATTTTCAACTGTAACACATATTATCCTGAATTTATTTGAATTTATCTGAAAGATTTTATCTAAATTCTAAATATTTTATAATTAAATTCTAAAAAGAAAAAAGTGCTTTTTTTTCACTTAATTATTAAAATGTTTAATATTGATTAATTTATAACTATTTAATTTATTCTAGGATGGAATCCATGGACAACCTGGTCAATTTGTCCAATTGTATGTGGTGATAGCGTACAAACAAGACGGCGAACATGTCCAACTGGAAATCATTGTAATGGTGAAACAATTCAGGAAAGACCATGTCATTTTCGTCCATGTGGTTTATGGGCAGATTGGAGTGATTGTAGTCATTGTGAAGGTCATTAAAAAAAAAAAATGCGACAAGTTTTTTTTTTTTTTTTGTTCAAAAATATTTTTGCATATTGTATAAATTTTTTTAGTGATATTTTTTGCAATTTTCAATTAAATTGAAAAAATTTCATTCGTAAAAATTTTACTCATTTTTTAACTTATAAAATGGATTGAAAAAAAAAAAAAATGTTGCAATATAAT